CACACACACACACACACACACACACACACACACACACACACACACACTTTTGAGCCTAGGTCTCACGTAAGCCAGCCTGGCCTTGGGCTTGATATGAAGAATGAGTTCTGATCCTCGTGTCTCCATCTCTGAGCGCTAGGATTCCGAGTCTGCCTCACCATATCATGGATTTATGCAGTGTTGAGAACTGAACTCTGGGCTCCAAGCATACTAGAAAGGCATTCTGCCAATTGAGCTACATCCCTAACACACTCCTGTGTTTTAATAACTGTTACCACCACCCTGGAGCCACTTTGTAAATAAGGGCCCAGGTTGTACCCAGAGGCCAGAGCAGACTTTTGCACTAGTTCTGGGCCATGGAGATGCTGCCCCAGCTTCCGGTCTCTTTACCCAGCTCTTGCATGACTGGCAGCACTGGGTTGTTTCCTGGATGGAGGGAACATCTTATTTTATGAGCCGAGGCTTGCCTCTGGATGAGGGGAACATCTTATTTTGTGCTTCACTATTTTTGAGCATTTGGGATCTGGAGCTGGAAACTTCTTGAAGGCCTCTGGCACACACAGGGAAAGCAGCACACACACTAAGAGCAGCCTGCCTTAGTTTCTCAGAGGTAGCTCCCTAGCAAAGACTTAAACTGTGGTTTCTCGAGACAGGGTTTCTCTGTGTAACCCTGGCTGTCCTGGAACTCACTTTGTAGACCAGGCTGGCCTCGAACTCACAGAGATCCCCCTGCCTCTGTCTCCCGAGTGCTGGGATTAAAGGAATGTGCTGCCACACCTGACCTTGCAAATGGTTTATTAAGAACAGAAAATGTTTGCATTAAACAGTGATTCTTTTTAAAGTAGGCTTGTACCCCTTTAGAAAAAGGAGACTGAGGATCAGCGCAGGGAGAAAAACAGCTATGGGTTACACCAAGTGGCGGAGGCAGTAGCAGAATATTTGGCAGGTCTTTGTAAAAGCATGGAAACTTCTAGGAAAGGCAAGGCTTGGGGAAAATCAAATGTGTGGCTGTCTTCAAGTGGTCTTAATGTTTAAAGTGCTGCTAATCCTCCTAGTTTGCGTTCTAGTTCGGTGATGAACACCGTGACTAAAAGCTACGGGAGAGAAGGGTTTGTTTCCACTCGGACTTTATAGTGTCACCGAGGAAGTCAGGGCAAGAACTCAGGACAAGAACCTGGATGCAGGAGCTGAATCAGAGGCCATGGAGCAATGTTTACTGACTTTCTCAGTCTGCCTGCTTTCTTTCTTTTTTTTTTTTTAATTTTAAATTTGTTTAGCACTTGGGAGGCAGAGGCAGTAGGATTTCTGTGAATTCAGAACCAACCTGGTCTACAGAGCAAGTTCCAGTACAGGCTCCAAAGTTACAGAGAAACCCTGTCTTGAAAAACCAAAAAAAAAAAAAAAAAAAAAAAAAAAAAGAAAGAAAGAAAAGAAAGGAGTATATATATATGTGTGTGTGTGTGTGTGTGTGTGTGTGTGTATACATATATGTGTATATTTATTTATCTTATATCCTTGCCACATTTTTCCCTCCTTCCTCTCCTCTCTCCCCCATACTTTTGTCCCCACCCACAATCCACTCAGGAAAGGGCAGGTCTCTCATGGATATCAACAAAACATGGCATATCAAGTTTCAGTATTAAACACCTCTCCATGTATTAAGGCTGGGCAAGAAGATCCAATATGAGAAGTAGGGTCCCAAAGGCCTGTAAAAGACTCAGAGATAGTCCCAGGTCCCACTGTTAGGAGTCCCACCAGTAGACCAAGCTACTTGTAAATGTAATACATATGCAGAGTGCCTAGGCCGGTCCCATACAGTTTCCTGGTTGTTGCTTTGGCCTCTGTGAACTCCTATGAGCCCAGGTTAGTTGAATCTATGAGTTTTCTTGTGGTGTCCTTGACCCCTCTGCTCCTACAGTCCTTCCCCTCTTGTTCAGGATTTCCTGACTTCTTCCTAATGTTTGGCTGTGTGTCTCTGCATGTTACATCAGTTGCTGGATGAAGCCTCTCCGACTACTGGGCTAGGCACCAGTCTATGACTATAGCAGAATATTATTAGGCATCATTACACTGACTTTTTCCCTCCAGTCGTGTTTGGTTCTATCCTAGGTCTACTGGGTTATCTTGCCTGTGGGTCCTGATGCTCCAGGCAGTGTCAGGGGTGGGCTCACTCGCTTAGCATGGGTCTGAGGCTGAAGCAATCCTTGGTGTCCCACTCCCTCTTCCTGGTCACAGGCTCCATATCTGCTTTTACTAGTGGTCTTACCTGGGGTTGGTCTGTTTTCTTATGCAGCTCAGGATCACCTGCCTCAGGTGGCATTGCCCACAGTGCACATCTCACATCCATCCTTAAGTAAGAAAGTGCCCCACAGGTCTACCTGATGCAGATACTGACTCGTTTGAGGTTCCCTCTTTCTAGAAGACTCTAACTGAAAGCAACAAAGACCTAACCAGCACGTAGTTAATTAAAAAAAAAAAACCCACAGTGGAGCTGCTTCCAGAGGTCCCTTCTGCTGTGTGCCACCATCATCCCGGTGGGATTACAGAGAACGTGTTGGTGTCGGAATCCCGAATCTGCACTGCTCACTGTCTATACTCTGGGAGAGGGCACAGCCTTGGAGGTCACAGATGGCACCTTCTATGTATTCAGCCCTTTATATGCCATGGGGTTGAATGAAGAGGTCAGGTGGTGGTGAAGAGGAACGGCCAATCACTGAGGATCTCTAGGCATTCAGGAAAAAGACTGTCAGGGTTGTCAGGGTTAGTGTTTTATTTATCTGTCCTCTGTGCTGTTGACTGCTTTGTTCTGGTATAATTGTTTTGAGACAGCACAGCACAAGCTCACCTTGAATTTTCCGTGGTAGCTGGGACTGACCTTGAGTTTGTAATCCTGCCTCCACCTCCCAAGGACTGGGATTGTAGGCACAAACCTTTATACCTTTCTTACACACCATGTGTATGTGTGTGTGTGTGTGTGTGTAGGTAAGGATACAGGATTTGTGGGAAAAGTCAGAATATTTTTGATCCTAACATTACAGGATTTTCAAAAATACTTATAAAAAAGTTGAGAGATGGGTGTGTTAGAAATCCAATCCTGTTATCCCAAGCAGGAAAAACTGTGGGTCAAGGTACTGATGATGGTAAATGTGTTATAATTTTATTACTATGGGTGTGGTGGTGTGTATATATGTGTGTGGTGGTGGTGTGTGTATGTGTGTGTGGTGGTGGTGTGTGCATGTGTGTATGTGGTGGTGTGTGTATGTGTGTGTGGTGGTGGTATGTGCATGTGTGTGTGGTGGTGGTGTGTGTATGTGTGTGTTTGTGTGTGTGTGGTGGTGGTGTGTGT